GATTGCGGTTTACATAAATTTTCTCCCAATTGGAGATTGAGCTCTTCCTCATCTTACACATGGGATTTAGTTGTCACTCAATGGTAACAGCTGTGAAAAGGTGAAGCGGCCCACCGCTCAGAATACTGCCTTCGCTTTTAAAGCAATTAACCCATGAACAGGAGGATACCTGGTGATATCAAAGGGATTAGGCCAGCCAGTGCATTACTACCATTTCCTTGAGCTAATTCTAACTCTGACTAGCTGTCAGAAAAGACTCTACAGTCTTAAAAGAGTTTTTGCCCTGCTTTTTTTCCCTTCAAAATGAAGCACTATTTGAGCCTAATATGTCCCTCTACTTAGAAGAAAATGCAAATGAGCCAAGCTTTTAATATGCTTAACCAGTCTGAGTCAATGCAATTTTAATACAAGCATGAGGGAAATACATGATCAATTAACCAGGGATCAAGACAGATATTCTCCTGAATGGAAATTAATGCTCCAGTACTTTCCATTCTTCTCCAACTACAAAAACTTAGTGACTATTTGTTACTTATGCATAGTTACTTCTGAAATTAGGAAGAGTTTCACATTATTCTCTATGGCAATAATCTAAAATACTCTTTGAGCCTGAAATCCAAATGTCCCTTAAGCAGGAGAGTCTGCATTCTCTAAGGTATGGCATTTTAATTTTCTATTCTTTATTGAATGGAATCCTAATAGAAGCTGTAAGAATAGCAGACACAGGGCTCAGAATCAAGTACTTGCTTTCCAAAACTATAATCAAATTAATTTTTAGCAGCAACATAAGGTTTAGAATATGTAACATAAAAATGACAAAGTCCCTTGCCTGAGATATGCGGATTAAGTAATCTTCCAGAAGATATTTAAGTATGGGTGAAATTGCTAAGTTCTTAGTAATAAACAGGCCTAGTTTCTATACACTTTTAACTATTAATATTCATATATCTTAGGGAACCTACTTAACCTTAAGAGATCTGATTTCTTTTTTTTTGGTACTGGGGATCGAACTCAGGACCTTGAACTTGTGAGGCAGGTGCGGTGCCACTGAGCTAAATCCCTGGCCTGAGATCTGATTTCATATTATACAATGTTAATGGTATTAGTGTTTTTATGTAAGCTTACAGAAACAGTGCCTTTTAGAAAAAAAAATCTGAAAAACTGCATATTAAATGGTTAGTGACTTTATTTTACTTTCAAAAAATACACTAAATTTTGATTATAAAAACTACAGAGTTTCACTCAACAAGCTTTTTGTTTTTCAACTACTTCCTGGGGTTTGAACTCAAGGCCTTTGCACTGAGCTACATCCTCAGCCCTTTTTTGTACTTTTTAGTTTGAGATAGGGTCTTGCTAAGTTGCTAAACTGCCTGGACTGGGCTCAAACTTGCTATCCTTCTGCTTCGCCCTTTCCATAGTTCATTTGAACACTAATAGTTTGAAAAGGATATGCTGACTCTCAAGCCTGTCAAGGATATAGCCCCTGTCCTGTAACTACCAAAATCAATACGATGTGCCGTCATCTGAGATCGTAAGCATGTTAAATCTTCCTGCAGTAAGGCATCATCATGCAATGCTATCAACATATCCCTTCTCTTTTGGCAATACCGGAACACATAAAATGTAAGCACAGAGATGTTGGAGGACAGCGACTTCAGTTCTCTTCCATGTTCTCTACACAGGACCTTTTTATGCTTGCCGGAAAATAATGCTGAAATTCAAGTATTAAGCAAAGTTAAATGGTGTGTATATTTGTGATTTATATTACCTATAACTTTTAAACGTTATATTAATGAGATTTGTGTAATTCAAATAGAACAAGACACTTTAAATATACTATTAAATTTTAAAATGATTTACTTCATTGGTTTTAAAACAGAAAACAGCAGTTCCCATAAATCACTAACTTCATTACATAACTTAAATACACAGATATATACCTGAATTAAATGGATATTATTTCATATAAAGAAATGTATTAAACTCCTCTAATATAATGCGTGCTTAAAATGCCCCTGAAGGGAACAATCCATAAATAAATACAGAAACTGCCACAATCCTACTATTTTTAATTCAATAAACGACAATGACACAGCTTTCACTGTGCTGCTTTACTCATATGCTATGTTAGAGCAAAGCAAACATAAACGAGTTCTTGCCCAACCATTACGAAAGACTGACAAAAAATGCAGTGTTAATGACATCTTATGGCTTTTAAAAGCAAGAGAAAGATGTAAGAAAAACAAAAATTACATAGTAATTGGAAACAAGGAATAAATTGTTCTTTCAATCTAAGTCATGTTTACTGAAAAAAATGGAGCTTTTAACATCAACACATTTAAACAGAAATTTGCTTTTGAAATACAATCTTTGTTTAAAAAGTACAGAAGGTCTTTATGTCCACCCCAAGAGCTAACTATAGTGAACGCTATGTGAACAATTATCTGAAAAAAACCCTAAACCCGTTAAAAGAATTAATTCAGTGCACACCAGTCAGCACTAATCCCATGTGTACAGTAATGTTCTCTTAAGTGATGGGGGAAAGAAAGGATAAAACTGTTTCCTGGATCAAACCCTCCAATATTCAGCAGAATGGATGATGATTTGGTTTATAAATGAATAAAATAGGGAAATATCTCCTGAACAAATTCTGGTGGAGGAGTCACCTGGAAAGGAATGTATTTACTGTACGCTAGGACTGAGAAAAAGCCATCACTGCAATGGCTGCACAAAAACTGTCCTGCTGTTGAGTTTATATTCACAGGAGAAAGGTTTCAGAGGTTAAGTTCAGGTCATATGACAAATGAAATTGTAACAAGCCAGCTGACATTGTATAATGTCTTCTTCCACTCAATCAATAGGCCACTGTTAGTCCTATTACCATAGAGATGGCTTCTCCTTTCTGAAGGGTGTCTATTGTTTGACAGAGCGGATCTGCCACTTGAACTAGGTTGTCCCCAAGGACATGTACCTTGTCAGTGATTTGTATTCAAAATAATGAAGTATTTTCATATTAAAATGTATGTGAGAGATAATACTGTTAGATCTCTTTTTGGAAAGAAAGCAACTTTTCCAAAGTACTCTATTAGTAAAGCCACTCAAATACCCCATTTAGTGGTATTAGAGTTTTAATTTAAAACACATGTCAAAAAAACAAAACAAAACACATGTCAGCAAGTATAAAAATTTATCATTAATGCTGTATATTAAAAGAAAAGGGCCACAGGCTATTGTGCTTATGTAAAAGTCATATAATTATCATCATAATAAAAATTATTTTTAAATGTGGACAATTCAAAAGAAAAGAAAATTATTGTCCGAAGCTGTTTAGATTCTGAAAAGATTTCTGTATATAATTTTTATAGTGGTTCTCATGTGGCATAGCATCAGCAATACGTTAAGAAACATGGGGAAAAAAAAAGAAAAATGGAAAAGTTTTAGAAAATGAATCGCTTCATTTGCCTAAAACCACTTATATTTATGTAACATTTAAATACATGTATTTGCTATATAAAAGATCTAAAAAGGATGAAATATTAAAAAAGATTAAATATTAAGTTTCCTTTAACTATCTCAAAATATATTGTAAAAATTAACATTCTATATAAAATGGATTAAGTTCCAAATTTCAACAAAGATATTTAAAAAGAAAAAGATCAACTTCTTTGTCAATGGAAATACTAATAATTCTTAATTATAAAAGATTCAGAAGAAACAGTTCTAATCAAAATTATTCTAACCACTTAGAAAGAGTGTATATGCATAACACTAATCAATCCAGAGATGTTATTTTAAGCCTTTTATAAAGATTTGGCTGTCACTGAAAACATGTAAATAAAAACATTAAATAAACTATATAGATAAAAATTTAGTAAATGATCAACAATAAAAATATTTGAATCTGAAAGTTCTCTACAAATAGATTTAAATGTAAACTTTAGAGTTATATATTTTAGTATATGTGCTGCCGAAGTGAGCACAACTTTATAGAGTTATAATTATGTTAACTTTTACTTTCCTATAGTTAAAAAGGGAATTTAGAAAGAATTTAGCTGAAGGGTAGTGTTATGGATATTACATTATAAATACTGGTCAACAAAAAGTAACAGTTAAAATAATGTCTATTCAAATTATACTATATTTACATACAAAAATGATTTTTTTAATAAAAAAATGTCAAAAGTTTTATTGCTTTTTTTTTTTTTTTTTTTTTGGTGCCAGGGATTGAACTAAGGACCTTGAGCTTGCAAGGCAGGCGCAGTGCCACTGAGTTAAATCCCTGGTCCTAAATGTCAAAAGTTTTTGGAAGAAGTGCTTTATTTTTCCCTTTTCACCAAGCATAATTTGTGTTTTTCATTATCATTCTCTTGGGCATTGATTAGACTAAGAATAGAGGAGACAAAAACATCAAAGACAAATGAGCTAGCCAATTTCCTAGACTAATGACCTAACGTTTAAAAGCAGAGTAGCTCCCAAACTAAGAAAGCCTTCCATCAGCCTACCTTCCCTAGGGCTATAACAGAACAAAGTGAAAACTTAATAAACCACACCCCAAATGTCACTTTCTTGGCCAACAACTTCTTTTCAAAAAGCATACAACATGCAAACATTTAGGGTATATAACACATGTGGATTCAGGCCAGCCTGACAGGCCTTTGCCCATCAGCAGTGTTATGAGTAATTAAATGACATTTACCATTTACAAAACAATGAACTTCATATTGTTGAATTAAACTGGTCCTTCTGCATCCTCCTAAAATGACAAACCTCATTAGTTCTGCCTAACCAAAGAAAGGTGATAATGAAGTAGTAACACCTTCGTTCCATCCTACGCAGCAGAACCAACTGTGTAATCATGTGCAGGCTCAAATGTACACAGCATTACTGAATATTCAAAAGGTGAAATCACATGTCTTGGGTAAACCCTTAGATGTGGCTGTTCATACAAAACCACATCTCCAATTATTAAAAATTAATTTTTAACTCATCAACTACTGTACCTGAAAACAGTGAAAAACAGTAATGCTGCAGCCACTGCTCCAAATAAGCCACAGAGGAGATTGACCCGGTAGGCGACTGTCCCAAAAGGCAACAGTGTCATTGCCAGCTTAGCCACCAGCATGAACAAAGGGTAGCCAGGAGGATGGGCAACCTACAGAAAATCAGCAAGTTAGAAGGCTCGCATCTGGGAAGGGAGAGTTGCACAGGCTTGAATCCAAAAGTAGCCCTCTTCTCAGGGAGGTAAGAAGTGCCAATGACTACATGTGTGAAGGAAGGGTGGCTTCCCACTGTGATGCTCCAGGCCAATACAAGTAAGTATTTTCCTTAGTGGATTTGGCAGTGTCTACCACATGTCACCTAGAGACAGGGTGACATATTTCATTATCAGTTCTTCAGCAGTTTGTTCTCTAGGTTTACAGTACATTAGGGTCATTTAAAAGACTACTGAAGAAAAGCAAGTTCTGAAATATGGTCTTGGTTAGAAAGTTGAAAGGACCACACTGTTATGGGATTACCGCCATGCTGACAGTCCTAAGGTCTTGCCTAAAGGGATCATGCACTATAATGAAGTTTATTAAATAATAAACTTATTAAAATTGTTAACCCGATTTATTTTATTCTCCACAGCTTAAACAAAATTTGGGGTGATAATAAGCCAGCTACTGTATATATACTACAGGCTTTCCTTTATAGTTTAGCTTAATTGGATTTAAAACTTAAAGTAAATTGTCACATACTGTACTTATAAGTTACTAAAAACTAGGGTTTGAAAATAAATTAATCTACTTTATTTCATGCTTAATTAAACTTTCTTAATTCCTAAAACTGTTAATGAGAGCATTGATTAAACAATAAAACTAATAACTTACTCCAAGCTCATGTGCCGCTGTGATCAGTTCCCCTGTGAAAAAATAATGTAAAACCAATAATTACTATTACAGAGTGACACTTCTCCAAAGTTTTCAAAATTCAAATGCTTGCATTGGGGTTTTGCATTAATTTGACTGGATAAAACTAAATCTGTAGAGATTTAGCAGCATGAAATAGTCTAAGAATACTTCCCCCCTTAAGTCTCATTGAATGAACTATCCTTGATAGTTTTTAATAACTGGTCAGTGGAAATACAGGCGAATTTTGGTTTTTAAAAAGTGCTTATTTTCCCTCCTAAGTCATCTTCGTTTGCTTATATAAAAATACTTTCACATAGCATTAGTGGAACATACTGTGTTCTCCCAAGAAACAATCCATGAACAGGAGACCTTAGGAAACATAAAATGTACAGAAACTTGAGGTTTGGACCCTGCCATGTGTCCTTGTCTGCATTAATTAGGCTGGATATTGTCAAACAATTTTCCTTTAGGTTCTTTTGGTAAACTCTACTGCAGTACATTTTTCCAAACAAGTGACTCATTATATTCTTTACATATAGTTTCTGTTAATGATTATGACCAACAATTACGATCCAGTAACTCAATGCCCATTTGTTAATATTTTAAGTATCCAGAGCACAGGGACCCCTTCTGACTCTTTCCTATACACTGAAGCACAATACAGTGTCAGAGATTGGTCAATATCGATGACTTGTGAAAGTTACCATTACTTATTTGGAAAAGTACTAATGTCCGTTTTCTATCCTTCAATAGTTATCACCACTTTGCCTTTAATTTCTACTGCCCAGCTACAGTTCAGACCTTTACATTCTCTGGCCTGGACTACAGCAATAGACTTGGTGGATAACTTTAATTCATCTTCGTACCAAAATTATTTGCTCTGCCACCCTCTCCCCACACAACAAAAACATTGGCTGGATCCTAGCCTGGTGTCAAAGATCCACGGCTGCTCTTCTTTCCTTACTGGATAAAGTCCAGCTTCCTCAGCAAGTCATTCAAGGTGCCTAGGCTTGTGTCTCTGAAACCTGGGCTCACCCCAGTGAAATCTAACACCCAGTGCTCCCCTGGAGTGGTCCTCTTTTGCACCTCTTACCACTCATTTTCTCACCCTGGAATATTTTCCCAGCGTCCTCCCCTAATCCTTCAAGACCTGGCTCAAGGCTGCCTTCTCAGTGACTCCTCTCCTTCCACAATCGACCTCCCCATTACAATCAATCACTTTTCTAATCCATAGAACCCGCCTGAGCCTCTCTCTTTAGCACTATTTAGACTGCCTCATATTCTGGCCAGTTGTTTCCATCTCTCTCCCACCAAGTTTAAAAACATTATCGCATCCACTTCAGGATCCCAACAAGACACCGCCACCTTTTGCTCCTCTGACCACGCACCAAGATTTTACCTAAAGCCCTGCACACAGATCTGGGGTGAATGAGTGCGTCACAGAAGCCCCACGAGGGCATCCACAGACACACACTGCTCATGTCCATGCATTAGGAGCACAAGTGACCAGCCCCCTGGAAACCAAGGTACTTTTGTATCCTGAGTACTATCTCCCTCCCACGCCCCTACCCTGCTGGGACTTAAACCCCAGCCCCTCACACGCAAAGCAAGTGCTCTCCCATAGACCTACACCCCCGGTTTTTTACTAGTTTTATTTTTTGAGACAGGTCTAAGTTGCTGAGGCTGGATGTAGACTTTGCAATCTTCCTGAGTCAGCCTGCTGAATAGCTTGCATTATAAGCGTGCACTATCACAAAAAGAAATTGTCCCGGGTCTAAAAATGTGTAGAATTGTTCTAACTACTCGCAAACATGATTTTATAGTTGTACTCCATACTGGATTAGCTCTGTGTTCTTTGATCCCAACTGTTTTGATTAGATTTTGTTCTTACATTTCTGGATGACAAAACATACCATGAGTTCAAACTTTTAAGGTCACTATTCATTCTCTTCCATTTAAAATGTAAACTGTACTTAACATTAAGAAAAAATAGCTGATTTTCTCTAGCTTAGTTTTAACATTTTAAAAAAATCAGCTTTTTGGGCCAGGTATGGTGATGTATGCCTGTAATCCCAGCACTCGGGAGGCTGAGGCAGGAGGATCATTGCAAGTTCCAGGCCAGCCTGGGCTACACAGTGAGTCCAAGGCCAGCCTAGACTACATAATGAGGCCCTGACTCAAAACAACCAAAAAAATTAAAAAAATTTTTAAAAAAACTCAGCAGTTCTTCTATAAAAATAAATCTAGAATTTAACAAACTTCCATTAACTCTTATTAAATGTTAAACTTAAATCCAAATAGAAAAGATGCCACTATTCAAAACCTGTAATGTACCTTGGGATAAAGAGCTAAAGGGAAATAATGCTTCTAAATTGCATTTGAGAAAAGGAGGAAGTGAATAGTTAAAAAAAAAACAAAACACCAAACTCAGCCTCATAGCTAATGTTTTCACCCAACCCTTCACACTGGAGTTTCCTCAGCATTAAGTTCTGCATCACAACTACCTGGCGGTCACTGTGTTACTTTGTTTCAAAGATTCCCTGACCACATCCCAAAACTCCCTAGTCTAATAAGACCCTCTGGTACTGTGGCCCAAATTTCTGGAGGAATTCTGAAGTACACTCAGATTTAGGACTCACAGCTTTGTGGGGTGGCACAGAAGGAAATGTAACATTTCCTTTTTAATTTCACTTATACTACTCTAGTGTCATGTAACAAGTTTGCTAACCACAGGATACTGAAATACATAAACCCAAACATGTTAACTCAGTGGAGGCTGGATTCCCACTCCTGCTCAGAAATGAACTATGTGTCTCACGTAGAACAAAAAATAATTTTGGCAGGCCACACAATGTGATGGATTTATGGAGTATAACTTAAGACTTAACAGGAAGAAGAATAAATGCTTTACTATGGTTTGAAGATAGGTTTTATTTATTGATAGAAAACATATTTCATAAACATTCAAGGAGAACAGTACATTCAACACATAAAATTATCAAGGCTATAATTTAACAAATTTTCCATACATACTGCCATGTAGTTGGAAAAGTTTATCATTCCTAAAAATAAACATAAAAAAATTAGAAGCAACCACTATTTTGATAAACCTAAACAAACAGATTAGAATACTTGAAAAATTTGGTAACTCAAGGTATATATATTAACTCTGTTCTTTTGGGGGGAAAATGCAGTATTAATAAAAACACGGTTAAAACCACAGACTTTAAATATCACTATGTGTGTGGTGGTGGATTTAATAAAGAATTTCCCAAATTTCTTTGACAAAGAGTAGAGGTTACAAGAGTAACCTCTTAGTTCTAAAGCTAACCTACTTGGGTTCTTTACCCGTGGCCCTTACTGGCTTCGACTTGGACACAGCTTTAGTTTTCTCATCTACACTAGGACGAGAACACTGCCCACCTCACAGGGAAGCTGGGAGGGATAAAGCAGTGACTGACATTAAGCATTGGAACCAGGATTAATGAGCACCCAAGTGCATTACTCATGCCACCCATACAGCAGCCCCACACAATTCTAAGTAGCTGTCAATTTTTTTTTTTTTTTTAGCAAGAAACAAAACTACCTAACCTCTGAATAATGCTTTCCAATGTTAAAACAAACATGAAGCTTTTTCCATTATAATAAGAATCTTGGAAATGTGCTACTCTGCTCCTTACTACACTACTGAAACAGCACTCCTATTTATTCAACAGGACGAGAAAAAGCGAAGGTAATGAGCTGGAAAATGGAACATCAAGGATTCTCGATGTGGTGGGCAGCACTGAAGATGGACCCCAGTAATCCCCTACTCCTGGTGTAATCCTCTCCCCTGACCTGGGCTGGATTTACAGACTTCCAGGAATAAAACAGGGCCATGGCGTATCACTTCCAGGATTAGGGTACAAAATGACAGGTGTCAAGCAGATGCGCTATCTCTTTCTCTTGACAGAAGTCCACGGCACAGCAAAGACCTGACCTGAGTTCAGAAGCAGACACTCCCCTAACCGAGCCTGCGGAGGACTGCAGCCCTGCCAACACCAGACAGCGGCCTCCTCCTAAGTAGTGTACCTGGTTAGACTAACCAGGACTCCTGCCTGACAGACCTGGTAGATAACCACAGATCCACTGCCTGAAGTTACAGCACCATTCTGGCAAAACTAATGGCCATAAGGCATCCCTGGATGATCACTTAATTTGGTAGTAAAGCAGAACCCAAATCACAACTAGGACCTTCTAGTCTCAAATGTAAAACAAGTGTGCAGATCATCTAAACGGCCCACGGCCAGGCTTTTCTTTCCCATAGAAGCAGCAAGCTTTAAGCTGCACCTTGTTTCCACTTTTTAAAAGGTCTTCCCTCCAAATATTCTGCTTGGCTGGCTCCTCAATATTCAGGTTTCAACTAAAACCTTTCCTCCGGGAAGTCTTTCCTGACCTCCTTCTGCAGGACCCCACCCGCCCCATCTCAGTCCTCAGTCCTCCTTGCGGTCTCCCTAACTTAGCGCCACTTCAAATACAGCTGCTTATCCAGTGACTGGCGTGCGCTCTCAGCACCAGAATGCGCACAGGACCTCCGCTATTCCTCCCGTCTGAAACGCAGGAAGGGCTCGGTAATGTGTGCGGACTAAAGAGAAATGGAAGATAAAAACGCAGGGGAAGTGGAGAGGCGGTGAAAGCCACTCCGGCGGACCGGCCACAGCCCAGCACCGCAGACCTAGGGCCGGCCCGGCTCGGGCGGCCCGCATACTTTACCCGAGTCTCCCCCCGGCACCGACGGGGGCAGGGTGACGGTGAACACCGCGGCCACAGCGGCGAACACGGCGACGGCGCCGCGGAGGCCCCCGGAGCACCGCGGCCCCGCCGCGCCTGGCCGTGCCCCGCCGTCGCCTTGAGGCCCCATGGACCCGGCCGACCGCGGTAGGACACAGAGGGCGCCGCGACGACTTCCGGGTGCAGGCGCGCAGGTGGGCTGCACCATTCAGCGCCCGAGCGGGGTGGTGGTGCGAGGATGCCGCGCCCTCGAGGGCCGGCCCTGCAGTGTCCGGCCGCCATCGCTGGTGGGCGTTTCTCTGCTTATCACGAGCCTGCACGTGAATAACCACAGGGGAGGACTCCTTCAGAAAGTAATCATGGGCATAAACCCACGGACTCTATGGCGATTGCCCCCTCTCTGACAGTGACTTGGTCGGTTCTGACAGAGACCGAAGCCGCGTTGAAAACCGCATGCCAGAAAGAGCTGCTGCTGCCACCTGTGGGGTGGGGTGGAACTGCACAAAAGGGCCAACGCGTTAAAACAAGGGCTAGTACCGTTATAGCATTTTATAAACCAAACCATAAATATTGGTCGAAGTTATGTACTTAGGTAAAAAATCTTTGGAATTGGGTATCTGTAATGATTTACTACATTACTACTATGGCAAAAAATATTAGAGGTATTATAGAGAGACCTTTAGCTAACACATGACTGTTGGACTTCATCCAAGGGGCAACAAAAAGATGTAGGAGGAGTAGTTATTGTTTATGCTCCAATTCATTCTATAGTGATTTATTTATAATACAAACTATAAAGTGTGAAAATATGTACTCACATAGGATTCAACAGAGAAACAGAACTAATAGGAATATATAGAGCGTATTATGAGATTTGATGCCAAAAATTGTCTTATGTAATGGCGGGGCTGGCCGAGCATAGGACAGACCAGAGTTCTTAGGTGACAGCAAAGTCCAGAAGTGGAATTTCTTCTTCTTAAGACTTTCCCACTTATTGAATCAAGCCATTCACATTACCTACAACAATCTTTTGGTTTTAACATCATCGGATTATGGGCTTTAATTATATCTATAAAATGCCTTCGCAGCAACACCAAGATTAATGTATGATTAAAAGTTAGGGAATGTAGCTAAGCCAAATTGTTATATCTAACAACTATCACAAAGGCAGGGAACGTGTGAATTAGGTGAATTTCGGGTTAAGGGAAAGTTAACTGAGGCTAGATATCCCCTATCCAAAATGCTTGGAACTGGAAGTGTTCCCCATTTTAGAGTTTTTGTATTTTGGAATGTTTGTACAGATTTACCAGGTGAGAATGTCAAATATGAAAATCTGAAATCTAAAATGCTCTAAAATCCAAAACTTTTTGAGCATCATGTTAGCACTCAAGAAGTTTTGAATTTTGGAGAATTACATAGAAGTTTTAGGTTTTTGAGTGAGCGTGTTGTACCTGTACTTAGCTCTGTGATCCTATGATATCCCAGATTTGGTTCTGGGAGCCTTGAAAGTCAAAAAACAAACCAAAACAAAACAAAAAAACAAACAAAAAAAAATTGAAACATTTATGTGGTCTCTCATCCTCCAGAGAAAGCTTTTTGTCTCCTGTGAACTTATGGCCTGCATGGAGCCTCACCTGAAATCCCAGGGAATGGCTCTTTATTCCAGCTGCCCACTTTTCCTCCACTGTGCCCTCCCGGGTTGGAAGGGTGTCAGTGCCCGATGACTGCTGCCTTGTGGCTCCCCTAGCACCCACACGGTGGGTGGGGGCAAGGGAAGTGAAGGGTTCTTCACCATTGCTGAGTAGGGGTGGAAGTCTAGGAGCTGATTCCCCCAACCACACGAGAAGAGAAGCCTCCTTACTGCCCAGCCCAATCCGAATGAAAGTTTTGGCTCCTTTCCCATCCTCCTTTGATACCACCCTGGTGGCTGTATGGAGGGACCCAAAGAGAGTAGGAGTCTGGGCTTCCCATAGAGTTTTTCTCAGTTTTTCATTTGGTTTCTGCTACAGTAGAGAAATTATTTTCATTTATGTTTTTCCCCTTTCTTGGCACTTCGCCTAAGAAGTGCAGGCTTTTTCTAAGGGTTCTTTTTGTCTCTGTTCACTGGCACCTCTGGGTTGCCAGCTTTCCTACCAATCAATTTGGGATACTGGAAGTAAAAACAAAGTCCAGAGATCTTAGCTCTGTGTTCTTCTTCAGATTTCAAAGCACCTACCTGACTGGCCTTCTTTTCTCCACTTGTTAGGTTTGTCTTATATATTAAGTCCAGGGTGTTTAGTTGTACCTAGCAAGAGGAATAGGGAAAATATGCCTATTCCATCTTTCTGGACACAGAAGTCTTTCTCCTTTGTTTTACAACAATGCAGAGCAGTTTTATAAATATTAATGCCTTTGAACTCACCTAAAAATATACTGTAGAAGTGTATGCCCTTTAAACCACACTTGACATGAAATCAAGTATCTTTATCTTACTAATATCAATGAAATTTTATATTAGAAACTTAAAATTAGATACCTGGAATACTATGCAATAAACCATCTACAATCAAACAATAAAAAGATACAAACATCCCTGTCAAATGCTTTGAAAAATAATTTTAAACATTCAAATGTATCAGTAATCAGAGCAATTTGAAATAAAAGCAAAGGAAGGGCATTTTTACCTTCCTAGTTGTCAAAAGTACTAAATACCTATGAAATATTAATGATAAAGGAATTTGATGTAAGATTTTCAAAAAATTAATTTTATTGGTGCATTTTAGGTATACAATATGCTGATATTCATCATTGGAAATTTGCACCTTTACATAATCTCTCTTGGTTCTTATTTTTTCCCCATTCCCTCCCTTCAACCCCTCCATTCCTCCCTATTTACAAAGATTTTGTTCCTATTTTTCCATTTTCTCACATTAATTCCATTCCCTTCTTTCCTTTCCCCTCCCCCTCCCACTTTCCCTTTCCCTTTGCCCCTTTTCTTCCTAT